TGCTCATAAAGTGAATCAAAGTTAAGGTTAATAAAACAAATAAAAATGCCTTTCTTCAGTCTTTTCAGTTCATGTAAACCTGATCATCATTTTTGTTTCCTTAAGCCCTCCCTCTATACAGGAAATAGAGGAGAAAATAGTAAGAGAGAAGCAAAAAAAAGATTTTGAAGATAAAACAATAATAACAATATGTACTTCAGATCATCAGCATTTTAATGTATTCTTAAGTGCATTAAAAAGAGAAAAACTCTGAAAACAAAGCATATCGTGCCTCATTCCTCTATTGCAGCTCAAAATCTGTTAGCTAAAAATTTAAAATAACTGGTGTTTAAAAAAGGACTACATATTCAAATGTAGAATATATATTTGGGACTTTCTAAATGCATTTAGTATACTTAAAATGTAATTTCTGTGTGAATCTGATTTTATGTCAGAATTCTTGTATTGCAATATTGAAAGGGAAATCTTAACAAACAATTTAAGATCATTCTGGATCTGCAACACTACTGTTGATGTTTACATTCACAATTATTGTGATACACCTAATTCTTTAAGGATTACTAATGATAGTTGCCAAGATAAAGTTTTCTGAGAACTTATTGAATATATGCTTTAGTGTTATTTTACAGTCTTTACCCAAAACATTCTGTATTTTAAAAATTGTAGTTGTTTCAATTGATTTTGAATTTTTATGGACTTTATTCAATGAGATATTTTCTCATATTTTTGTCAAGTCATACTGTCATGTTTAATTGAGTGACGTATCTATGTGCTATGTGTGTACAAACACAATACACAATACAATATATGCAATAGATAGGTGGATAGTTTTTAAGTTTCATTACAAAAATGTCCTGAATTTTTTTTAAAGACTCAATAGATGTAGGGTACAGGTTACAATTTTCTAATAGAACACTAAGTTAGTGTAGGGGATTGCCTCTAGTGGATCCATATTTAGAGATGAAAGCAAATTACACACTGAAAGAAAATCCATGTGTTTTATTAGGCTCTGAAGTCCTGAAATGCTTGGTGTAATTTACCAGATGATGATAATATTTATACAAATTATGTTTTGGCTGTTCCTTTAAAATTTATTTAGAATCTCACAATCTCTCACCATCTCTGTCACTATACCATCACATTCCACATTTCTACCAGTTTCCTGGCTCACTTCTATGGTCTCTTAACTGAGCTATTGCTCTCATTATTTCCTAGTTATTATTGTCTTCAGACAACCAGAGTCACCTGGGTCTACAAGAGTAAGTTGAGGCTGGGCACGGTGGCTCATGCCTGTAATGCCAGCACTTTGGGAGGCCAAGGCAGGTGGATCTCCTGAGGTCAGGAGTTCAAGACCAGCCTGACCAACATGGTGAAACCCTGTCTCTATTAAAAATACAAAAAATTAGCCAGACGTGTTGGCAGGCACCTGTAATCCCAGCTACTTGGGAGGCTGAGACACGAGAATTGCTTGAACCCAGGAGACAGAGGTTGTAGTGAGTCAAAATCCCTCCGTTGCACTCCAACCTGGGCAACAAGAACAAAACTCTATATCAAAAAAAAAAAAGAGTAAAGGTGATCGTACACTCAACATGGGCTCTCTATATCATGATCTGTTAATAATTCAACACCTTTGCCTGGTCTACAGGGCTCTCCCTGGCGAGCCCTTCATCTCTGGCCAAGGGCCTCTTCCTTCACTGCACTCCAGCCCCACTGGCCTTCTTGCCTAGTACACTCCCAATTCAGAGATTTTGAAATTGCTGCTCAAACTTTTAGGAACTTACATCCCCCAGATACCACATGGTCAGGTTTTTGCTCATATTCCCTTCTAATAAAGAAGCCTTTTTTTATTTTTCACCTCACTGTAAGATACTCTCCACCCTCCACATGCCTTGTACCCCTTCACCCTTCTTTAAGTCTTTCTAGCTTGAATTCATCGCTGCTGAAAGTGATTTCTAATTTGTTTATCTTCTCACATCCTCAGTTGAATGGAAACTGTTTGAGTGCGGGGAGTGTGTCTATTGAGTTCACTGCCCTATCTCCATAGTGGAGTCTGGAAAACAGTGACTGCTTCCAAAATACCTGTTGAATGAAGTAGTGAAAGTTATGGACATTGAGCTTTATTTAGATAATGAATTTCAGGCCAGTAAAATGGTCAACAATGATTAATCCACCACAGGAGACAAGAGAAGAGTGTGTGTGTGTGTGTGTGTGTGTATGTGTGTGTGTGCGCTTTTTTATTTGCAGATATACTTTCAAGATTATCTACCCTATCTAAATCTATTTTAATAAAAGTGTTATATAATTTTGCATATTTCAATTTTAATACAGTTAAGAAGTATAAAAATTCTAAATAAATTAAACACAATAAATACAAAAAATAAATAACATGACTCATTCTCTGTAGATCTTTCATAATGAAAAAGGCAGATATGTTCTTATTGCTTTCATGATAGTTGAACTTATATAACTGAATGATTACTTTCAAAGATTAATGTTTTGATATAATAGGATAAAGAATTATTATTAAACCATACCTTTTTCAATTGTGTTAAAAATAAATAAGAATGACATATATTTTTCTAGATTGACACCTATACATTGATTACTTATTGGTATAGATGGTAAACATGTGTAAATAAAAATGATGATATAAACATAAAACTGTGTGAATATAAAATATAGTTATAATAATTAAATATAAACAAGTATATAGACATAAACACATATAATGTATATCTAGAATTGAATCTTTTGTACTTTAATTTTACTTTGGAAGTATACTTAATTTTATATTTAAATATCATGACTTCTTAATTTAAAATATTTTTTATATTATTAATGATTTGTATTTGTTTCATTTGAATAGATGTTTGTAACCTATTTAAATGTGATTTCTTTGGTAGAGACTTTCTTAGGGAAAATATTAAGTGAGAAGACTTTACATTTATTTGGGATTAAAAGAAAAAGAGAAAAACAAACTAAATAATAATAAGGGAGTAAACTGGATAATAATTTGACATATTTTTCTAAGAGTACTTTGCAAATTTAGCATAAATGCTTAATTTAATATAGTGGGATCATGTGGGATCTAGAAATTAAGTTAATTTCTAGACTAAGCATAATTTATGCACAATAGCAGAAATAAAAATATGATAATCTATTTGAAAAATGTGTTTCTTTTTCAGAGTATTTTCATTATCATATATATTGCTTTCTTGTTAAAATTCAGAGTTCCTGAGCAAATATGGGAGGGGCATGCTGATTAATGGAACTGAATGCAAAATATTTATTCTGGTCAAAATAATTACAATGAGCAAATGAGTATTGTGTACTGCAGTTTGGGGTGTATTCTCCAAAATTCTTCAAAATAGAGTGTGTTTTGTAGAAGAGGAGGAAAAGGCTAAATTAAATGAGCTTCACTTTTCTGCCTTTACTTTGTTATTGGAAATTTCTATAATTTGCCTCATTATTATGGAAGAAAGCTGCACACTTTAAATGCCATTATAATTTTTCTTTCTCACATTAACAGACTCCTTCATGTCATCACCCAACAAAAGACAAAACTACAGACACTGAAAAGAATGATTTCTTCCTGATATTTCAACTAACTTTGCCCTCTGCAATCCTCTTTGGCTCTAGTCCATACGCCATCACTGAACAGCTTCCCAGCACAGTCTGTCTTTCTCTCTGTCTGTTTATTGGTAATTCTTTTTCCCTTTCCTCCGTATAGCCCTCTCACGTCCATTACTGGCCTTTCACATTTCTTCTACTTCTCAGGGGATTAGAGCTTACACACATCAGTATGCCTCTACTGTGATATCAAACAACATTGTGGTGAATTAGATATTTATATCTTCAGAAGAGCCATAAAAAGGTGCAGTATCAAGGCTGGTGGGGTTAGAGTTACTTTTTGATCTTGTTTTTAAAATAATCTTTATATGTATAGTAATAAAAAATTAGGTTACAATTAAACTCCAGTAAGAATCTTTTTAAATGACATATTCAAATTATCAGGTCTCATTGTTCAACATAAAATAGATAATAGTTGAATCACAAAATAATAGCACCTGTAGAATTAAATACTCAGCATCACTAGGTCTTCTTCTTCTTCTTCTTCTTTTTTTTTAGTTTAAAATACAGTTGACTCTTGAGCAACACAGGTTTGGACTGTGCAGGGTCACTTATATGTGGATTTTCCTCTGCCTCTGCCTCTGCCATCCCAGAGACAGCAATACCAGCCCCTCCTCTTCCTCCTTCTCCTCAGCAATGTGAAGATGATGAGGATGAAGGCCTTTATGATGATCCACTAACACTTAACAAAAGTAAATATATTTCCTTTTCCTTATGATTTTCTTAATAACATTTTCTCCTCCCTAGCTTACTTTATTGTAAGAATACAGTATATACGGCCAGGTGTGGTGGCTTAGGCCTGTAATCCCAGCACTTTGGGAGGCTGAGGCGGGTGGATCAGGAGGTCAGGAGTTCGAGACCAGCCTGACCAACATGGTGAAATCCCATCTCTACTAAAAATACGAAAACTAGCCAGGTGTGGTGGTGCATATCTGTAATCCCAGCTACTCAGGAGTCTGAGGCAGGAAAATCCCTTGAAACCAGGATGCGGAGGTTACAGTGAGCCAACATCACACCACTGCACTCCAGCCTGGGTGACAAGATTGCAACTCCATCTCAAAAAAAAAAAAAAAAAAGAATACAGTATACAGTGTATACTGTGTATAACTTACAAAATATGTGTCAAATGTTTATGTGATTGGTAAAGCTTCTGGTCAAGAGTAAGCTATTAGTACTGAAATTTTGGAGGATCCAAAAGATACATGCAGATTTTTGACTGCATGGAGTATTAGTACCCCTAACTCCCACATTGTTCAAGGGTCAACTCTATTGCTAATTGAAGGAAAATTAAAATTACTTGTCATTTTCAACATTTATTTTTTATCTTCTTATTATTTAGTAGTCAACTGTCCAAACATTTGTTTATGTACCTTTTTCAATTTGATGACTCCCTCTTGTGTATCCTCATCTGTGACGATGTCAAACAAATTTCCCCCATCTCCTGGAACAATATTGTATTCAATTTCTGCATTTTGTCCAAAATCAGGATCCACAGCTCTTATTCTTCCAATAGCTGAGCCAATAGGGGAAGACTCAGGAACTTTCAGGTGGAAGATGCCTGATAAGACATATAAAATTCAAATTGACAGTGGGGTTAGTAAGAGATATAGTAAGATTACAAGGCTTGAAAAATAGAGTCTACTGAAAGTAAATCACATTTAGAACATTATAGTGCAAAATGAAAAGGCATTTTGCTGTCACATTTAGGATTATGATTAGGAGTAATAACTTCACTTTTCTCTTTAATATGTGCTGCTCTAGAATTTTAATTGGGCATTATAAATAGTAGAGAATGCTAAAGTAAAATTATTAGCAGGACTTGTTTTACACACTTATTGACATAAAAGTGTACCACATGTCAAATGGGAGGGTGGGACTATTCATGAAATTAATTAGTACTAATACTACAGACTGCAAGACATAGATGAAAAGTTATAGAAGATAGATAGATAGATAGATACATAGAGAAAGTTGAGGTTGTATTTCCTAAAACTAATGACGTCAATAAGTATATATCATTAAACTAAAAATAACCTGTAAAATGATAATCTGTATAGTTAACCAAAATTCTAGTAGATGATAGATTGAAATATAGTATATTATAGACTAAAATTCAGCTTCTATTTAGTAAATTTTAACTTGTCACCCTTCTATATACTTTTACTGATATTTTAAGTCATAAAGTTCTATCTCCCAAAGCTTTTTAATAGCATTAAGAAAGAAAAAAAAAGTAAAATGCTTATTTTTACCACCAGGTGGAGCATTCATATTGTAATGAAATTTATACTGAATCAGCAAAACATAGATAAAACATGTCAGAATCACGGAAAATTGTAATACTCTCAAAAAAAAAATAGACATGATTTTAAGGTTTTGTAGAATTTTTAAAAGTCTGACACACAAGAAAGATATAAAAAGCATGCACTTTTACTGATATTTCATTAAAGCAAATATTAATGGGTTTAACAACAGTCTGTTCAAATTAAAATAAGGAAAGGAAGTGAGAGAAAATAAAAATTAAAAAACAAAACTAAACACAAAAATCTAAAATTTCCATTTTGATATTGGAGTTCCACTTTCAATTTCTCTTACTGGATTTAGAATGGCTCGTTCCCATGGGTAAATCAACTGTGGTGATTCATTCATTTTAGAATTTTAGTTACATTTATGGAAAATAAATTAAGAAGATACTAAAAATGTCTGTTGCATAGAAGTTAATTAAAAAATCATATTACAATATTACAGTTATTTTCTCCAGGAAAGTGTGAGAAAAAAAATCACATCTTGTAGAGATTCTGCCAGATATTTTATTTTTGATTTCCAATTATTTTTGAGGTCCTATGGTTCTTTCACAATCAGTTTCAAAACTTGGTAATTTCATTAGTGTGGGCAACATTTAAATCTCCCATCTTCCTTCCTTCCCCCAGAAAATGATATCTACCATGTGTCTTGCATATGCCGACCAGCCATATTTAAGTCCAGCATATTATCTCCATGGAATGTATATGTGATTTGATCTCAAGACAGCTAAATACTCAACTAAAATTTGTTTCTTTTACATACAAGACAAAATGATACTTTACAGTGGTCCATAAGAATTATATTTAAATAATCAGCTTAGTTAATTCATAGTATGTCTGCCTTCAAAGAGGATATGAGGGGTCTTTCTAAAAAATGCACTTAAAAGTTGAAATAGATAAAAAAAAATTATAGACCTAACAAAAACAACAACAACAAAAAACTCCCTCCAAGTCACAATGCTAAAGAGTTACATAGATATTATGAAGAAATCTCAGTTAAGAAAAGTCATATTAATTGATCAAAGTAGTAACTTCTCATAGGCTAGGATTATTGTTTTATTTTTATTTCCTAAGCACTTAACATGGTAGCTGTCATTTAGGGATGCTTAATGTTTGCTGAACTTAAAGCAGTGATTGAACTTGAGGCAATCAAATCAAAGAAGAAAAACAAAACAATGGGTTACATGACATTCCTATTTTCTACCAGAAGGATAAGCCAGATATTCAAGAAGAATCTATCCGACTTCAAATAGACTTAATTACATGGCTTTTGGAACTACTTTCTTAGGGCATAAGTTTTCTTGATAGATAAATTAAAATCTGATCCTAGTGAGGCACTCTTGAGATAATAGGAAATATGAGGGTCCCTGAACTTCTGTTTAATGAGGCAAGAAAGCATGTGACAAAGTTTTTACAGTTGTACTAAACTTAAGGACAAATTCCCCAGAAAAAGGACAAGGTACAGAACGTGTGAGTAATTTTTCATTTTCTTTTTTTTTTTCTTCTTAAATGCCCGTTAAATGAAAATACGGCTTATCAGAAACTGTGTTTGTATCTTTTGCGTCTTGTTGTGTGATTGTGATGAAGAATCTGAAGGAACATCAAAAGCTTTGAACTCACAGTATGATTGGTCATAGCCCAAACTCATGGTTCATAAATGAGTGTTAGAAAAAGTCTAAATTTTTTTTCTAATAAAAGAGAGAAATGGAGGTCTATGTTGAACAGTGTACTAGAAATCCTTCTTGATCAGGACTTTTAGTTGGATACTTAGGGCTAAACATCATCAAGGAAATAGCTGAACAAGTGTTCAGAGAGACAGGGAGCTGTCGAGTATAGTGGATTTCAAACTTCAAATGTGGCCAGCAGTAGGGGTGGTAAAGGTGAAACAGCGAGAGTGATAAGGAGAGGAGTAGTACGGGAATGTTAGGAACTCATGGGCATCTCACTTAAAGGGCTGGGGACATTTCAGCTTATTCCATCCAATCCATTCAATGAGAGCCAATTCAGGTTACGTATTAGGTTTATGAATTAGCTTTACATTTACATTTGAATGGTTAAAAGCAAAAGTTAAGGGAATTACACATCGATGAAAATGATAGAGCCTGAGGTCCTCTCTAAGGGATTACGGTTAGTGAAGGTGAAGAGTTTAGCGACAGTTGAGATCCTCCAATATGGGTGGGAGGTGGGGGGTAAATTAAAGCACTGAAAGGTATTCCAAAGGGCACGGGATAATTCAAACTGCAGATGAAAGATCCCCCTTTTCAACATAATATGCTGAGATATGAACTTTATGTTTTATAAAAGAACATTTTATGGGGCTAGTAACAATAAATGTAAAGACAGCTATTCTTTGTAGTATTCTATCAATGTAAGTGAAATAGGGTGTTTTGTTTTAAGTTGTCAGCATAGAGAATGCCAACAAATTCCATATTTATCTAATGGCATTGAAAAACTTGTGATAAACTGAAATAATAGCATTGTCCAATAATGATTGATTTACTAGCATTCCACTAGCTTGCATGCCCTCAAAACTCAGATAAAATAAAAGTAAAGCAATAATTCACCACTTACATTTTTGTGTGCGTTAAGTTTTAGTGCATGTGAAATGCAAATATACAGAGCAATGGATTTTCTACTCTTTACATAGCAGACATACATTTTAGTAAGGTGGAATTCACGTTCATTAAGACAAGTGTTTCTTAATAAAATATTACAGCTGGTAATAAAGTCTGCAGAATATGGATCAAGTCAGAGAAACTATGCATTTGTCATGTCTGATTGTGTAGGTTCTGTCGGTTTATTTCCAATGACTTGACATTTTATCATTTCTAGAATCTCAACAGCAATAAAACTGAGGTCATTCAGATTAATTCAAAACTGTGAAGTAATCTTCAGCTGTGCCAAAGTTGGATTGTTCATGATGTACTGTGTAATTACACCGCCATCGTCTTTTAGGCGTCCTACTTTTGATGCATATGAAACATCTTAATGGCACTACCTGTACCACAAGAATTGAGAAATAAAACAGGTGACAAGAGATTGTCCACAGTCAATAAAAATATGTATTTACCTATTCATCAAATATACATATTATGCTTAACCAAAATCTCCATTTTCCCATGGAGAAGGAGGAAACGGCATGCAGTGAACTAAGTATAATGATCAAATTCTTAAATATAATATTCCCTGTTAGTTCCAAGAGTAGAAAAAAAATCAGGTAGTTATAAGCTACGTAAGTATCCTCTCAGTAACTATGTCATTTGAAAAGATACTGATTAGGACATAAACTGTGGGTTGGGGGGTAGAGGACATGCATTGCTACTTAAAAAAAAGGATGTAAAATACATTTACCTTCCTTTTTTGTTTATTGCAGGAAATTTCCAGATACTGATGAAAACACCAAAATAAATATATTTACTTGACAAAATATAAATGAAGATCTTTACTTAAAAATAAAGATTATAGGACCTGAACAAATATATTAAGTGAATGCATGACTTTAAAAATACCACAGCATTCAATAATACCAGTAGTAAGTTAAAAAGAAGATAAAATAATCCATTACAAACTGACTTTTGAAATACATTTTATTTTATCTTTATGTAACAATAATTCTAAAGTTACTAAAAAAAAGAAGTCGATGTTCAGCTGCAAAAGAGTTACCTAAATACAAGTAACTAATGCAAATATAATTCATATTTAATAATACAAGAATACTAGAAATATTGGAGGGCTTAAGAACAAATTATTTCAAATTGATGAAAATGTTAAACATTTTTAAAAACTCAAAAACATACATTTGAGACCAACTAAATAGACTATGATTTGAAATATTACATTTCAATTTAAACTTCAAAATATTATATATAACACTGAACTATTGATTCAGTAATTGAATTCAACCATTAGATTGTTCAAATGATCCTGCATACTTTTTGTGTGAGAGTGATTTACCTTCTAATGGCTTAGAAATAAAATTGTGTTGTATCAGTATTTTATTTTTTTAATGACTTAAATATATATCACACAGAATTATTTCACCTTACTTAAACAACACAAAAAGGAAATACAAGTAAACAACATATTGTGTGAGTAAAAAGGAACTTTATAGAAATTCTGTACCTGTAGCTCTGACCTTGAGGAAAATATTTTAAATATCCCTGTTTTGCTGATCTTTTAAAATATCTCTCTTTTCCTGATCTGTAAAATTAGTATAACAATATCTACCTTACAGATTTGTTTTTGAAAGTCACTTATA